TCATATGAACAATATCATGGTTCGGCTGAATATCAGACAGAAAGAAAAATAAATGACCTGTTGAAAAGTATTCAGCTAACCTTTTCTGAGCTTGCAGGCTCAATAAATATTGAGTTAGTTAGTACTTGGATAGCCATTATAGGTCTGTAGGCTAATCTGGGAAGTTGGGAGAAAAACATCAGAATAAAGCAAAACATTACTGTCAAACCTATGATGTATTGCTGGCAAGCAAAAAACATGAACCCAGGAACACCTATATATTTTTATTTACAAATGTGCTTCAAAACATATGGATAATCTTGCAGGCAGATCAGGGAGTTACCAGCTGGGTTATTATTATCAACTGACTAAGGGGAAAGTAGCTATAAATTTCCAATATAAAACACTGCTTAGCTTATTATTCGAGCAGTTTCTATCCATGGATCTGAAACTTTAATTGTCTGATGGAACTTCCTGATATACCAGCCCTTTCCTGTCAAGATCCTGACTTTTGCTTTTGAGTGGAGAGCCTAAACCAGGGCTGGCTTAGCTTTAGTTTAGTTTTTCTGACTTACTATGTTTCTGGTTGCATTCAACAGCTCAGTCCCATATGGGAAGATGCTTAAAACCCCGTGCCTTGAAAGCAGACAATCAAGGAAGCCCAAGTCAGAGAGGGGTGTGTGTCCTATCTTAAAAGAAAAAATTAAAAAAAGCTGAACCACTGAGGACAGTACAGCAACACTGCAGATGAAGCACACACAGACCCTCCTATCTGGTCACAATGGATAAAAATGAAAGAGAGAGAGATTCTCTGTTTCCAGAGCTGACTTGGTTTTGGATTTTGTTTGCCGACAGCAAGAAGAAAATATTAGGCCCCTGTGAACCCCTTCTGTCATGTTTGCGTGATCAAAGGAGCCTCAATGAGCCAGAAGCAAATTACAGTTGAAAAGATCATGGGGTTGCCTAGAACTGTGCTAGAAGCCAGATGATGTGCAAGAAATGTTGCTTTCCTTTAGTGTTCCCTGACTTGGTATCTTCAGGATATACTTGGCTTGCAATGCATCTGGAAGGGCTCCAGTCTGGAGTTGGCTGTTGGAGCTTACCCACATGATTTCAGTTCTCTTGTGTTTGTTGAACATTCTTACATTATTTGAGCAGCAAAGGATGACAGCCCTAATACCTATCCTCAATATTTCCTTTTTTAAAGAATTGATGACTATGCTTGGCAATTTCATCCATTTTAATAGTCCTATTCCCATATTCGCACAGCTCACCGTTTATAGACATTAATTCAGTTATCAGTAGGTCCATCTTTTTGTCCTGTGCAGATCCCTTAAGAGCTGTGCATTGTTGAATTGCCTGTCCAAAGTCAGTCAGGGTGAAACTTTAGAACTGCAGATAATCATAAAACCAATAAACAAAACTTGCAAAAAAAAGAACATTATTCAGGTCAAATATTGTTTGACCCCTTTTCAATCCACAGCCTTTTATTCTTGTAACTATTCTGAAACCCAGCATTTTGAATGGGTGCTTATGTGACTGTATGTATATATATATATATACGTATAATGTATATGTATACACACATATGCATACATACATACATACATACATACACATATTGTCCTGTACAAATACTCATAAGATTGCATAAGCCATGGTTCAGGGCTGCTACAGACAAATACATGAAAATAGATAAGACAGAAACCATTAAAAATATTGAACAATGACAAAAAATATGGCCAACGATCCTTGAATAGTAGCTAGGGAAATTGTCACATCCGGTTAGGAAAATGGAATGTAGCTTCCAAAGTGTATATCAAGCACTTTTAAAAAAGAAAGCTTTATTTTTATACTGATGCAGGCACACAAGAGGGACATTTCTGCATAATTTATCATTAATCGCAGTGGAAATTATATGCACTAGATTCCTAAGCTACCACCACCACTTTTACTTAGTGATCAAAATTGTAATGAATATGCTGATAGAAATGCATCCTTTAGAAAAACAAACAGCAAGGAAATGTGAACCTCTCACACTAGAATTGTGATATGGAATTATTATACAATTAAGCAAAAGTGTTGATTTTCATTAGATATCCTGGAAAATTATTTTGGAAGAACCAAATTAGTTGATGGTGGGGCATAAATACATTTAGGAGAATAGAAGAGTCTTGGATCCTAGGCTGAACGATACTCCAGAGTAACCAAATCCTTAACATATTTCTGACCATCCATTTTTCAGTTACAAAAATTATAGCCTGGTCTACGTGGCATAAAGTAGCACTTTATAAAGTCTTAGTAAGGCCACACCTGGAATACTGCATCCACTCGGTCACCACATTGGAAAAAAAGATGTTGAGACTTTGGGAAAACTGCACAGAAGATCAACTAAGATGATTAAAGGCCTGGAGACTAAAACATATGAAGAACGGTTGCAGGATTTGGGTTTGGCTAGTCTAGAGAAAAGGACTAGGGGGGACATGATAGCAGTACTCCAGTATTTGAGAGGCTGCCACAAAGAGGAGGGGGTCAACTTATTTTCCAAAGCACCAGAGGGCAGGACAAGAAACAATAGATGGAAACTAATCAAGGAGAGAAGCAACCTAGAACTAAGGAGAAATTCCCTAACAGCGAGGACAATTAACCAGTGGAACAGCTTGCCTTCAGAAATTGTGGATGCTTCATCACTGGAGGTTTTTAAAAAAGAGACTGGACAATCATTTGTCTGAAATGGTATAAGGTATCCTCTTGAGCTGGGGGTTGGACTAAAAGATCTCCAAGGTCCCTTCCAGCTCTATTCTGATTGAGATTGAGATTGGTCAGGTCAAGATTGGAAAGTCCCAGGTTCTAGTGAGTGGTCTTCACCCAGACATCCTTCTCTAGTTAAACCAACCTTAGAAGATCCCCGTGGGAAAAATGTGGAGGAAACAATATTAGATAGGCTATCTGAAGGATATAAAATCTAGCAACCAAAATTAAAGTGCAGTTGCACTGGAAAATGTCTTAATTTCCTATGGTCCAGCATGGACCATATTAAAAGCCACTTCTGCAAAGTGTAGACACTTGCTCTAGAGGACTTTTACTATAATAAATTTTGCTGCATTATTATTCCCATATTAACTTAGATGGGCAGTTAATCTAAGTGAGCAATTACCTGGTAAAGAATTATTCTCAGGATCCCTGTAATCAGATCCAACAATGGATTATGTTTTCCTCATCACTCCTTTGCTTCATCTACAAATGTTTACACTGGTCCTTGAGTGTGACTAAGGGTAAACTTGGGTAAACAAGAAGAGAAGAGTTCCATTAATCAGTGGAACAACTTGCCTTTCAGAATTTGTGAATGATCCAACACTGGAAGTTTTTAAGAAGAGATGGGACAACCCTTTGTCTGAAATGGTTTAGGGCAGACATGTCCAAAGTCCGGCCCGCGGGCCATTTGCGGCCCGCGGCCCGGTTTAATCCGGCCCTCGAACAGCCCTCCCTGCTCTATGTAAATCCGGCCCTCCCACGGCCCTCCGGCAAGTCCCATGAGAGAGAGAGAGAGACAGAGAGACAGAGGCACTTGCACTTCTGTCTCTCTCTCTCTCTCTCTCATGGGACTTGCCCCCTCGCAGGGCTCCTCATTGGCCCTGCGCCCGGGTGCCCCGCCCCCTGGGAGAAGGGCGGCCAGGAAGTCCCTTTCCCGGGCTGGCCCCGTCCCAGGCGCACGTGGCTGGGGAGCCATGCGGGGAAGCCCCGGGATCCCCGNCCTCCGCTGACAGGGCCCGGTCCACATTCTTCGCGCCCGCCTGGAAGCAGGATAACAGCGGCCGTCCCTTTTTCCTCTGCGTGCCGATGGGGAGAGCGGGTTTCTCGCCTTCAACTTCTCTGCTCTGCTCCCTGGAAGTTTCCTCCCGCACCAGCAGCCGGTCCTTTTCCAGGGGCCAGACCCCACGCGCGAAGCTCTTACGTCGGATGCAGGTTGGGACTCCAGGAGGCCGGTCTGTGCGCGTCGACCTGGCAGTAAATCTCTCTCTCTAAGCACCGCACCGCATTCATCTTGCGACGGAGAGGGTCAGCAGCCCTGATAACAGCAAAGCAACCTTGTTGCCTGGAGTTCCACTGTACAACCTCAGCAGGAGGCGCGCGCACGAGATTAGACCCGCTTTCAACGCCTTGCGTTATTTTTGCGTTCAATTACACTTGCGTTCAATTTCTGTGGTCGTATTGGCAATGGGTAGGGAGCCTTGAGTGGGGGGGGGAGGGAGAGGGAGAGGAAGAGAGAGGGAGGGAGGGAGGTATATTATTTTGTTTTCTTCGTTTCCACCCGTGGCTTTCTAAACCTGGGGGGGGGGGGGGGGAAGCGGCAGCCGCGGTCTCTTTAAATCTCTGGCTTGTTTTTGGCGTTCGCGCTAGCCTCCCCCTCACCCCCCCCCACCCCTTTCGCTGCTGCTTTTCAGTCCCTGCGTGAGCAAAAGGGCTTCCTCTGCAGCGAAGGAAGGAAAATGCTTGTCGGCCGGAGAAGGAGGAGGAGGAGGAGGAGAGGAGGAGGAGGAGGAGGAGGAGAGCAGCAGCAGCAGCTTCCCTGGGCAGCGCTCGGCGATCAGCGACTGGCAGGGACCTTTCCAGTTGCAACAAGCTGATAGCGGCGATGGGCCAGGGCGACGGCAGCTGTCCGCGGCACTGAGCGCCCGACGTTGCTGCCGTCCGGGCTGTATGTAGCCAGCCGCCGAGCTCGTTGCCCTCTTTTTCAGCCCGAGAGGGTGCTGGACACTTTGGGAGAAGGATCGGTGCTGCTGCTGCCGCGCGCTCTCTCGCTTTTTTTCTCTCTCCCGGGGCAACTTGCTGAGCGGATTCTTCCCCGCCCCTTTCCGATCCATCCATGCCCCGACCTGAACTTTAGCTGCCCGGGGGCTCCGCGGAGGGAGCCACCCCAAAGCGTGGAAGCTGCGAAGATGATTTGAAAGCTTCGGGTGCGAGAAAAAAAGGGGGGAGGGAGAGCGCGACTGCCGAGGTGGGGGGGGAGACTTCGGAAGATGAGCCACGCAGGTAAGGAGGCTCCGCGGCCGGGCCGGGCAGGGCAAGCCCCAGGAGGGCTGGAGAAGGGCGCGGGGCGAGCTCCAGGGTGGCCAGGTCTCCTCCGCGCAACTCCCTTTTGGCCCTTTCCAGGGTCGTCCAGTCGCTCCCGGAATCAGGGAGCGGTCGGTGGGAATGCCAAACGTTTCTCCCAGGGCGATTAGGCCGACCCCCCGGAGGACTATCCTCCTGCCCCCCCCCCGGAAAAAAAAAAAGAAAGTCTTGAGTTTTCCAGAGGCCGTTTGCTCCAAAGCTTTGTACGCCGCCGCTTCTTTAAAGACCCCCCCCCCCAAAGCAGGGAAAAGCGAGCGATGAAAAGAAACCATTCGAAACCATCTCAGACGCAGAGAGTAAAGTGAAATGGGGACCTCTCGACGGGCGAAGCGCTCGGGAGGGCTGTGCTGGGTTGCGGTGGGTTGAGGTCCCCATTCCGTGCCTCTTTTTACAGTACTAGGTGGACGTCGGGAGAAAGGCGGATTCCTATCCTCCATCCCCCACCCACCCCCCCCCCACCCCACACACACACACACACTACTTCCCATTTTTTCCTTTGTGCCTTTCCTTGCCTTCGGCTCCGGTTCCCAATCTTTTCGGCTTTTGCTTGTGCTTCTTTCTTAGAAGGGAGGGGGAGGGAGGGAGGGGGAATCAGAGGGACTGGAGGTAATCAGCTTACCTCCCCCCAAAAAGTCTCCCTTAATGCCTTGGGCGCTTACCTCCCCCCTCCCCTTGGGCCCTTACCTNCCCCCCCAATCCCTTCCCCCACCCCGCCGTCTTCCCCTGGTTGGGTCTCTTCCTGGCTGGTACTGTCGTCCCCCGGCGCGGCGCCAACCTCCGCCGGACTGCTCCGCTGTTTGTTATGCCAAACCCGACGCGCCGTCGCTTCTTTGGCGTTTTTGCACCGGGAATCCGCGCGTCGGAGGAGAAGGAGCTACGTGGCTGAGGCTGCGGGGATGGCTTTGCGGGAAAAGGAGCCGGGCCAGTCCGGGGAAAGGGTGGCCGGGCGGGCGGCGGCGTTGATCCTGAGATAAACTGCTCAATTGCTCCCTTCGGTTTAAGGCTGCCTCTGCCACGGAAACGTTAGGATGGAGGATCTTTCCCGGCTGAGCTTTTGCTATGACCCTGCCGGTTAAGAATGATGGGAGTGCTAGTTCAACAAATCCGGAGGGTTTTAGAGAAAAGAACTTTTTTTTCCCCCTCCCCAACAGGCGCCGTCCAAATGCACATACACACACACACACACACACACACACACACACACACACACACACACACACACACACACAGAGGACCCAATTATTCTGCCGCTTCTCGACCCTTAGTGGTGACTGGTGCCGCTAAAACCGCACAAAAGGCGACTTTTCCAGCAGGGGGCAATACTATTGTTGTGACTTGCCAAGCTCTTTCTTTCGCTTTTCTGTACATCCCTAGGAAATAGATAGATGGCCCTTGCTTTCAAATTCCCATACCTGGAGAAACGCTTGCAGCCCCATCTGTTTTTGGCTAGAACGGCCAAACGAGGAGGAGGAAGAGGGCGGGGGGGGGGGAGAGAGAGAGATAATGAGATTTCTATATGGCCTTCTAAGAGTGCCTTAGAAGTTATGATAGAATTTCAATGATTCTGGTGAAAAAAATTACAGATGGCATTCCGAGGAATGAGATTTATCTCCCAAGAGAGGGAAAATTAATCAGACAGTCCTTTCCTAAAGGGAAGACCTTACCTAGGATTTCAGGCTAAGGTCACAGGGCTCACTTGAGTTGTCCAGCTGTATCAGAAAACAAACCTAAAAAAGCTTGTTGCCTTGATCAGTTTCTATGTGTGAATTGAGAAGGGGTGCCATCAGGCAGTTAAATGTCCTGCCCTAACCTTGATCTTCTAGGATTTTGGGGGGGAGAGATAAATGGAAGGGGGAAAAAAAGACTTTTGAGAATCTGATTGCTCTTCTTTAATCACCCTACCTTATTTACAAAATCTTAGAAAGGGAGACATGCAGGCATTATGGTCTTCCTTTGGTGAACTTCCCATGCTTTCTTACCACTTCACATTTTTTCTTACGAGAAAGGGAGGGAGGGAGGGAGGGAAAGAGAGAGAGAGATAAGAAAGAGAAAACAGAATACTAGCACAAGGGTTTTTGATGGTTAGTGCTGGGAGTCCCCATTTAGAAGCCCTAAAGCAGGGGTCTTCAAACTTGGCCCTTTTATGACTTGTGGACTTCAACTCCCAGAATTCCTCAGCCAGGCGTGCCTGGCTGAGGAATTCAGGAGTTAAAGTCCACAAGTCATAAAAGGGCCAAGTTTGAAGATCCCTGCCCTAAAGGAAAAAGTTGCATCCAAAATACTGCAGAATATAGTTACATAGAAATCAATTTGCAATCATTGCAGGAAGAGAGCTGTGTTAGTCTGTGGGAGCCAACAATCAGGAATCTGATAGCACCAGAAGGAATTTGGTAACATTTCAATATATTCCAATTTCATTATTTTTTTGCTTGTTTGGTGCCTTTGAGACAATGTTGACTCCTGGCACCAGCCTTACATGTCCCGACAGTTTTCTTTAGAATGGTTTGCTCTTGCCTCTTTCCTAGGGCTAAGAGAGAGAGAGATTGGCCCAAGGTCACCAAGCTGGCTTTGCTTAACCATTACACCAAACCAGTTCTCACTTTGGCTCAACATACTCAAAATAACTAGAATGAGTAAGTAGCAAAATGAAATTTCATTGCACAAATGTTAAAAAAACACGACACGGACAGTGGCTCTGATTTGTCTTTCGTTGTGATAGAGAAGTATACCTTATCCCCACAGATGACATTTTTATTGGTAGTGGATTGGAGCCTGAATGGCTTTGGGCCAATTATGATCTCTCAGTCCAACCTCACAGGCTTGTTATAGAAAAAGTGAAAGCCAGACTGCTCTATATGTTGCCTTGAACTCTGGAGGAAAAGTGAAGGCTCCATCTAACAAAGAACAAATGAACAATCTGACACCAGCCTTTTGAATGAGTTTTTAGGCTTGAATGCTTAATTCTCTAAATTCGCTTCTCTCTCATACTTCACCCTCATCCCATCCCCACAACTATTGGGATAATTCTGCTAGCTTCTTTGTAGGCTTGATTCAATCCTCAAATCAACCTTCCTCCAATATAATAGCCCTCTGGACACCCTGGGAACCCCAGTGAGTTTGGAAGCCAGAAAGTTGTGATAGAGGCTGGTTTACGCCAAGGAATCTGTGCTTCATTTTGACACATTCTAACACACATACCCATTGCCTTACACCCAATGCATGTTGGAGTACGCAACATGTTACGTAATATGGGAAAAGGGGAAGTGATAACATGCAAAAGAAATTAGGACTAAAATAAGAAAAAGAAAATACAGCTAGATTTCATTTACATCCATGCCATTCAGTGCCCAGCTCCATTCCTCTCTGTCCTGGTAATCATTCTTCTTTCCACCATGTCCAAACTCTATCTTTTCTTGAGTTACACTTTAAAGAATATACATTAGAAATATTGGTTATACTTTGAATTTTGATAACATTATCAATTTTATTGATAACTAGCTGTACCCAGCCACGTGTTGCTGTGGCTCAGTCTGGTAAAAGCGTGTGTTGCTTTTACGTCCAACAGATGGTGCTGTTTTTCAAAAAAAGCATGTTTTACCTGTCACAGGTGTGACATCTATATAATATAGGTATATAAAAACGTGCGTATTCGAATGCAACGTTGTGTCAAAATTTCAAAGCAATCGGTGAAGAACTTTCGGAGATTTAAGATTTTGAACAAACGAACATTTACATTTTTATTTATATAGATATCAGTGCAAATATTGATAATACTTTGAATAATCGCAATGGCAAAACGTCTGTACTGAAAATATTTGTATAGGTGACAAATGCTGATTTTGAAGACTTGATTATTCTAAGAATAGGCTATTGTAATATCTTGACAATGGGAGGACCCTTACACTGAAACATCAGCCCAATGAGAAAATGATTAAGGTTGAATGGATTTCAAATTCCTTTCCTTTTCTTTAAAACTTGCAAGTTTAGCATTACATATATGAATATAATTGAGGCTATGCAAAAAAAACCAAAACCCCATGCCCTTTAATCCTTGTCCCATTTGCTCCTGCAAAAGAAACTTCTGTTTCTTTTCTACCTCATTCTCAGACTACCTTAGAATTTATTTTGGGACAGTTTGGGGACTCATTTTATACCTGCAAGATAACCAAAGATTTTGCACTTTGTTTACCCATTTTTTTTTAAACTTCCAGGCTGTCCCTGCTTTTGATATTAAAAAAAAAAACAACCAAGGAAAGAAGTTCTCTTTCCTTAGAAATTAAAAACAGATAGTCCATATTCAGTTACCACAATTAGGACTCACAACTCGGTGGTTAAATGAAGTGGTCACTGAGTGAAAACACAAAACCTGCAAAGGTTGTAAATTAAAAGACTGTTCGCAAAGTTACTGATTGCAAAATAATTTTTTTGCCACTGTCTCCACTGCAAATGGATACTAAATGAATCAGTTGCCAAACAGGGGCTACCTGTAATTTCTTTTCTATTAGCTTTATTGGGAATGCTTGGAAAAAACGGATTAGAACATGTCAACTCAGCATTACTAATTTGTTGTTATTAGTTGCGAAGTCGTGTCCGACCCATCGCGACCCCATGAACAACGTTCCTCCAGGCCTTCCTGTCCTCTACCATCTTCTGGAGTCCATTTAAGCTCACGCCTACTGCTTCAGTGACTCCATCCAGCCACCTCATTCTCTGTCGTCCCCGTCTTCTATTGCCCTCAATCTTTCCCAGCATTAGGCTCTTCTCCAGTGAGTCCTTCCTTCTCATTAGGTGGCCAAAGTACTTGAGTTTCAACTTCAGGATCTGGCCTTCTAAAGAGCAGTCAGGGTTGATCTCCTCTAGGACTGACCGGTTTGATCGCCTTATAGTCCAGGGGACTCGCAGGAATCTTCTCCAGCACC